TATCATTAGTAATATTTTTTATTAAAAATAATAATAAAATAAATAATTTTTTTGTCCATCTTTATAGCCAGAAAAAATAATTATTGTTTGTGTCGATCCATTTAAAAACAACTTTTTACAATATTGATTTTTATTTATTAAAACATAGTTATAAAAATCATTTAAATGGTTGAACAAGTCAAAAATTTTCAAAAAACAGTGTTATTTAATGCAATTTTGTTTTTGGAATTATTTCATATTATGTTAATAATTATTTTTCTACTTTAATTATAAAATAATTTGTTTTTTGTTTTATATAATTATAACAAAACTATAAAATATAGTTTTATAGTATCATAAAAGATAAACTACCGTAAAAATATTCTTTTTTAATCGTTTATTGCCAAATTATTTTGTTTTAAATAAAACGAATAACAACCCTTGTTCTCTTTCCATTGTTGTGATTTCACCAACTTAATAAAAATAAAATAAAACAAATATATTAATTTACATGTTTATTTTTCTTTTAAATATTAACTTTGTTTTTATTTGGTCATAATATTAGCACTTTTTAAAGTATAAAAAACGAAAAGTTTGGTTTACAAAAATAATTAAAATAAATTTGTTTTTTATTACAAAAACCAGTCTTACTATCCATATTAAATACGATGAAAATGTTTCAACACCAACTTTATTTTATATTAAAAACAAAACAAAAAAAAATAAACAAAATTGCTTCAGTCGAAAAAACTTTCGTAATAATCAAATGAAGTTACAATCTCTCTCATTCATCATTCATCTCATTTCTCTTGTGATTTCGCAATCTTACGATGTTCCATGTCTTTTAGGGATGCGTGTCGAAACGATCGAAAATATAGGGGTCTCTGGGCGAGTTGGGCAATATTCCCAACTTGCTGTCAATTGTTATGATGACATTCCCGACTATAAAAAACACGTCTACGCGATGTCTTCGCAGCTCTACTGTTACGTCTCCAAAGCCATCTTCTACCAACAATATCAGAACATGTCGATAGCAAGATGTGGCATATGCATTGAACTCACTGGCCCTTCTATGAAGCCTTTCACTTGTGCTATAGCAGGGATGTACACTGTCCGTCCAGATGCCTTCGCAGCACATCCGGACCTTGCGTACGACATCCCACGAACCTTCTTCTTACCGAAGAAATTGGTCACAGACATAGCTGTTGTCCCAAGTGAAGGAGGAGCTTCTACTGTTGTTCCCGTTAATTAAAGAACGTAAATGCC